TTCGTGTCCCCAAGAAAAATTCCATCCAGAGCCGAAAAGTAGGGAGTGTGGTCAATGCTACTAACTTTTCCACCAGAATTGTTCTCCCAGCCTCCCTTGCATGGAGACATGGCCATGTGATTAAATCCTAATAGAGTGTAGGCTGAAGTGATGGGTGTCATTTCCAAAGTAAGACTTTTAAGAAGCAGCTTGTACCTCCTCCATACTTCGCCCCCTCCGCCTTCGGAATGTAGACAAAACCAGGCAGTAGAGATTAATGGAGTCATAGAAGATGGAAGGAACCTGGGTCCCTTAGCCACCATATGGAGAGAGTGGGTGAGGTCAGGAACACCCATCTCAGACTATCACATGAATGAAAATGAAGCGTCCATGGTGTCCGACCAAGTGTACCTTTGGGGATCTACTTTTGCACAGCAGGGGAATCTACTCTATTACAGGAGCGTGGGCACCCTGACCACCACCCAGATCAACTAAGCCTGGCTCGAGGAGGGGGTCTGGAAGAGGAGACCTTCTAAGATTTTCGTTGACTTCCCCACCTCCACTTTGCGAAGCTAACTTGACTCATCCTTCAATCGAGCCCAGGAGCCACTTTCTCCCGGAAGCCCTCATGACGTCCAACCAGGGCCAAGCCCACCCCCGCAGGCCCTCACAGAACACATCAAACACCACAGTTCCACGTTATATCCATTAGTGTGATTTCCTGACTAATGTTTGGACCCCTCTGCATTTTAAAGGATGCATTTTTCAAAAACTCACAGAATGGTACACTGCTTTCTACATCTTGTTGCATGTAAATTTTACCCTAAAAATTACCAAAAACAAATATTGAATTCTAGTTCAATGATATGTATGCAGAAGCATTTTGGGATAAAGTGTAGCAGTATCTGCACCTTGCTTTGAAATGCATTAAAAATGGGCTGAGGGGTGCCTGGGTGGCTCAGTTGTTAAGCATTTGGCTTCGGCTCAGGTCATGATCCCAGGATTCTGGGATCGAGCCCCATGTCAAGCTCCCTGTTCAGCAGGAAGCCTGCTTCTCCCTCTCCCACTCCCCTTGCTTAAGTTCCTGCTCTTGCTGTCCATCAAATAAATAAACGAAATCTTAAAAAAAAAAAAAAATGGGTTGACAGTGGGGGACCTGAGTGGCTCAGTTAAGAGTCTGACTTCAGGGGTGCTTGGGTGGCTCAGTGGGTTAAGCCTCTGCCTTTGGCTCAGGTCATGATCTCAGGGTCCTGGGATGGAGACCCGCATCGGGCTCTCTGCTCAGCAGGGAGCCTGCTTCTCCCCACCCCCCGCCTGCCTCTCTGCCTACTTGTGATCTCTCTCTCTCTGTCAAATAAATAAATAAAATCTTTAAAAAAAAAAAAAGAGTCTGACTTCAGTTCAGGCCATGATGTCAGGGTCCTGGGATTGAACCCCCTCGTCAGGCTCCCCACTCAGCTGGGAGTCTGCTCCTCCTCCTCTTTCTGCCCCTCCCCTAGCTTATGCTTGTGTTCACTCTCTCTAATTAATTAATTAAATCTTTCCAAAAAGTGGGTTGACAGAGAGACCGAGGGATACATGGACAGATATGTGATAAAACAGAACCAGTCAGATTCTGATGGTAGAATCTAGGCAGTGGTATTATGAATGTTCACTAGATAATTCTTTCAACTTTTCTGTATTTAAGACTTTTTTTTTTAATGATAAAATATTGGGAGAAAATTCAATGAGAATAGGGACCGTGAGTATATTACATGAAAAGCATTATTCTATGTACATTATATTTTATATTATTCATCATAAGGCTCTAGGACTTGCTTCTGTTTTAACTGATAACGTGTCATAGTCAGTGTTCCATGATGGCCGACGGGCAGACAGACAGAGAGAAGACGGACCTCATTCCTTTGAGTATATCATGGATATCTCCATGTAAGGCAGACATGCCAAGAAGCCCTGCTCCAGCAAGATAACCCTTCCAGGTAAACACTCCCACCTCTCCAGGCAAGTAAACTCCCTAGACTGTCCTTGGTTTCAGGGTTTTTGAAATGGGGCATACTTGCTGGGAACTCGACAGCCTTCACACCTGCTTTGCCTTGTTTTATTCCCACAGGTCTCAGCAAAAGGCACATGTCACTCCCTAGCCACCCCACAAATGAGGACCGTGCTTAAGGGCACATGTTTTGGGGCCAGATCTGATTCACACTGGAGTTCCAAGGATTATGCTCTGTTTTAAAGGACCATCGAGGTTTTTTGTGATTCTGTCTGGCTCTCCTGACGTACTGTTGTTCTCCACTGTGATTTGTTTGAGACTACATCCCCAGCCTGGAATAGAAATCTCAATTATTGTAACGGTTTCCATGGAAACATATGATCTATTTGCTCTCATTTCCTCACTGTTCCCGGATGACCCATTCTCCCACTTCTCCACCCCCTCCCTCACACCGCCCAATCCTGATCCTTTCCGTAAGGCCTTCTGGCACTTCCACTCCTCAAGCAAAAACTTTCCAACCTATATTGTTAAGTGACCAGAAAGGTGCAGAGCTCTGTGTAGAGGATGCGAACCCTTGCAGTAACAAGGACAAGAATAAAGATGCGTATTTATATGTGTTCATTTAGCACATGGGAACCAGAAATATTCAAATTAAATGAACAGAATATTTGCCTCTGGAGGGCAGCAGCAGTGCGGGGGCACAGAAGGTGTGGACTTGGGTGGGAGCAGACATCTCAATGCTTATCCTTTCAATATAATTTTAATGATGAACCACATGTATACATCACTTATTAAAAATATAATTTAATTTCTACAAACTTCCCAACAGGCCCATATAATTAGAACCCCTTCTTCCTTTAGGCCACATCTGTCCTTGCCACATCAAGGCAACTCACTCATCTTTGGAATCTAAATGCCCCTGGTGTTCCTAGCCCTTTAAATCTCTTGACCTCACCTGTTTGGTTCTTTTTCATCCCCAGGCTTCTAGACTCCTTTTTTTCCACCTGGGGTTATGCCCCTCTTCCTGCTCTGACTTCCTTTCCAGCCTGGTCTAGTTGCCATTTTTATTCATTTATCCAATATGCTTTTACTGATCACCCACTGAAAGATTCCATTGGGTCTGCAACAGGCATCTCTCTTCCCAGAATCCTTGACTCCCTCTTAATCTTCTGGCTCGCTGATCCTGCTAATCTCCCCCTTAGCTCAAACCTGCCACCCACTTCTCCCTGTCCACACCCAGCTGCTCAGAGGTGCCGGCAAAAATCACACAGAGGCATGGACCACTTCCATCACTGACTTTAGAAAGCTCCTCAGTAATCTTGCTGTGTTTTCCTACTGTCACTCCCATTTCATGCCCAAGCCCTGCACATTCTGGACCACCATCCAGATCCTTATCCCATCTCAGCAGATGACCCCATGACCCACAGAGAAAATCGTGCCTTCTGTCCAGGCCCTGAATGGATTCAACCCACAGGCACTGAAAGGATAGTGGTGAACAGGACAGAGGTCCTCCTCTTGCGATGCTCAGTTCTTAGAAGAGAGACAAACCAATAATCAAAAAGGGTACCATCTGACGACAGCTGCCACGAGAGAGCAGAATAGAATGGGGAATGAAAACGAGGCAGAGAAGGTGGTTAGGGAAGGCTTTTCAGAAGAGGTGTCATCTAGGTTGTGAGGGGAAGTACAAGAAGGAGCCCAACGTGCAAAGAATAAAAGGAATGGCATCACAGAAGCTCTAAGAGAGGAAGGAGATTTGTATGTTTCAAAAACCCAAGGACCACTGTGGCCAGAGCACTATGGGTGACAGGGACAAGAAAAAGAAGTCGCCAGGCAGAGATAAGATTATAAAGATTATAAAGAACGATGTAAGCCAAGAACATAGTATGATACTTACTCGGATGGGATGGAAAGTCGCTGGGGAGTTTTAATCAGGGGAGTGCCTTGACCTAATGGAACTTTGACAAAATGACTCATTGCTGCTAAATGGAAAGTGTACTGATTACAGGCACAAGAATGAAACCAGGGAAGCCAGTTAGGAAATTCTGCGGGGGACCAGGGGGTACACGGGGGAGCCTAGATTAGGGCTGCCTTTGTGATGATGGAGGGCAGTCAGTGAACGCGTGGCCTGCTTTGGTAAAGGATCTGTTAGGATTCGTGAATGGGTTTCACATGACTTGGGGGAGGGGGAGGGGCCAGGTAAGAACAACTCCAGGTAAAGTCCCAGACTGGGGGCTTGGACTACAGAGATGGAGAAGAAATTTATATTTCCTGCACCCTTGAGTTCATGGTATGAGATTTATATGAGACATATTTGTGGCACACCAAGGGATTAAAAGACTCGAAACAACACTAAACAACTCAGGAATACTTACACCACAATCTTAACTTCAGTAAAACAGTGTCTCCTAGTATCTATAAAAGCATCCAGAACCACTCTACGAGTCCCCGGGTCATCCTTCAACTCCCTTGCTGTCTGAAAGGAATGGTTTCATTCCTGGCTGCAAAAGGGATCTTTTCCAAAAGGCACATCGGATCGTGTCACTTCTCTGCTTAAAATTTTTCAATGGCACTGTGGATAAAATCCAAACTTTTCATCACAGCTCACAAGGCTTTACAGGATCAAGCCCCTGCCCATTTCTGTAATCTCACATCCTGCTACCCTGCCATGCTCATGACATTTTGGCCCCAACACCCTCTGATGGTCCCTAGAAGGTACCAAACCCTTCTCTACCCCAGGACCTTTGCACTTGCTATTCTCTCTGCTGGCAACATCCAATTCCTAGCTCCTGGAATGGATAGCTAGCTCAGGGCTCACCTCCTCTGATGGTCTAAGTGGGTCCCCTCTTGATTTGTTTGGGGACCATAGCACACTGTCCCTTTTCTTCATGGTTTTCATTACAAACTGTAGTGTTGTGTCTATTTCCTTTTTACTCTCTCCCTCGCTGGAATGTAGGCCCCATATGAACAGTAAAAGTCCCTGCCTTGTTACCTGTCCTTCTGGAGTGGGAGCCACCCCCACGCCACAGCATACCTTGCCAAAGCTTCCTTTCCCGAGCACCATCAGGAAGTTAAAATCAGTCAGTTTCATTCGGTCTCTGTTCCCATTGTTGTCAAGTTTGGATATGGTATTGGTCGTCTTTTCTTCCGGAGCCTTGGTCCCCTGACTGATCTTGGCTCTCTGAGGGAGGAAGCACACAGAAAACATCATTAGGGTTTGAGGACGCTCCTGGAGGAAGTCACAGGTAGCTGCCACGAGCTGTGGTTCCTGGAGCTCGCCCCGTCCCCTGGTCTGCATCTCAATGAAAAGCATGGCCAACGTCCACTCCGCAAGCCTGAAAGCTGGGGCCCACCCTTGACACCCCTGTTTCTCATTTGTCCGTCCTGCCTCAGCCACCACAGGAAAGAGTCCTCACTGTCTCTAGAACTGACCTGCTTTCCATTTTCGCCACAACCTGCTATCATGCTACACCTGGACACCCCACCTCGTTTCCCGCCTCACTGGGCTTTTCACGCAACCAGAGTGAGCTTTCGCTTCTCCATACCCAACCAGGTTACCACCTGCTTAAAATGCTTCCGTTGTGACTCCTTAGGTTTGGGATAAAGGCCTCAGTGCTTTCATGGGTCTACATGGCCCAGTACGATCAGGTTCTCCAATCTCCTCACTTCTTGGACCCTTCCCTGTAATCCAGATCCATTCCCCTTTCACATCCCACTCAGGGCCTTTGCACATGCTCTTGCTGCTTTGAGGGTGGCTACTGTCTCCTCTTTGCCAACTGAGCTCCTCCTGCTTCCCATGTTCCCTTCCCTAGGGAAGCCTTCCTTGATTGTCTGTCTGGATTAAGTGTCCCTCTTTGCTTCCTTCATCCATTTCACTTCCCATTTACACTGGATGGTAACTGTTCACTTGCTTCCGCCAACACACTGGAAGCTCTGTGAAGGCACAGACTCTACCTCCACAACTTCCCTAACAACTGACACAGTCTCCTATTCTGTGGATGAGTGGATGGGTGAGGCCCATGTTGGTCCTCAGGGCAGTGGGGGAGGGTCTCGCCACTGTGAGCAGCAGAACAGTGACTCAGAACGGCAGCAGATTCCCTGCAATGAGGAGAGGAGAGGAGGTCAGGAGTGAGGTCTTGCAGACGCCAGGACTTTGTTTCTGGAGTCGCCGCTAGGGCTAGACTCCTGACTCGGGCATGGATAAGTGGTGTAATCCAGAGGGAGCCATGAGCTCAGGACACTCTCTACTGAGACATCCCGAACTTCAGCATCTCTCTCAAGAGAATAGGCCAAAGGCTAGAGATGTCCCTGCTCCTCTGCACGTTCTCTGATTTTGGACCTCTTCTCCTTGCATCCCCCTGGCCTCGTTGCTGTTCTCTGAAAGCACCAAATATGCCCTTGCCCCTGGGCCTCTGCACTTGCTGCCCCCTGTGCCTCTGACTTCTTTCCCAGAGCGTCCTCACTTCAGATAAGACAGCCTTTCCTGTGGCCCCAGGGTGGCTCAGTTGGTCAAGCGTCAGACTGCTTCCAGCTCAGGTCATGATCCCAGCGTCGTGGGATCAAGCCCTATGTTGGGCTCCACGCTCAGCACAGAGTCTGCTTGTCCGTCTCCCTTCGCTCCTCTCCCTGCTCTCTCTCAAATAAGTAAAATCTTGGCCGGGGTGGGGGGGGACACAGCCTTTGCCAACACCAACATGCAGAAGCTCTCAGCCATCTTTATTCCTCTTACTTATTTTTCTCCGTATCCCTTATCACCATCCCACAAACCCAGTTTTACTCGTTTCTTAATTTCTCATCTTCATCCTCACACTAGAACACAACCTCCAAGAGGTCAAAGATTTTTGTCTCTTGTTCCCCTTTCCCTGGTGTCTCGAGCAGCACCCAGCAGAGTAGGCACTGACTTGTCTTCGGTGAATGAACCTTGATAAACCCTTTCAAGCAAATGGAGATGGGGACAGGACAGAATGTAGCTCAGGGTCCTTAGCACCATTCCTAGCATGTGGTAGGTACTCAACGAATGGCAGCTAGTATAACCGTCCTATTATTCAGTTGTCTTTTTTTTTTTTTAAGGATTTTATTTATTTATTCCAGAGAGAGAGAAAGGTAGGGGGAGGAACAGAGGAAGAGGGAGAAGCAGACTCCACGTTGAGGACGGAGCCTGACACGGGGCTCTATTTCAGGACCCCGAGGTCATGACCCAGACTGGAACCAAGAGCCGGACACTCAGCTGACTGGGCCACCCAAGCACCCCGTTCAATTGACTTTTAAAGACCAAGAGGCAACAAATATTTTCAGATATTTTTTGAATATCGGGAAAGCGTCGTGTATTCAGAAGAAACTCATGGAGTTCCTGTGGCATGCTAGGCGGTACTCTAGATGCCAAGGGTCAGTCAGGGAGAAAGACGACTGTGGATGTTCAGAGAATCCGCCCCGCAGCAGGGACTGGGTCCCGCACCCTGGGTCCAAAGGATAAGCAGGAGAGCTTTCCAGGCAAACAACTTGATGTCAGCAGCAGAAATAGAATTAATGGAGCAGAAAGCAAGACACACTTGAAGAAGCAGACCCAGTGCAAGGCAGGTGTGGCTCGGGTTGCAGCCCAAAGACAAGCCGGACCAGGTAAACCCTCTTAAGGAGTCGGAGCTGATTCTGAGCATGAAAGCCTCATCCCTGGGTGGCAAAGTTGGTGAAGCTCCGACTCTCGGTTTCAGCTCAGATCGTGGTCTCAGGCTTGTGACATGGAGCCCCGTGTTGGGCTCTGAGCTCAGAGAGGGGTCAGCCTGAGATTCTCTCTGTCACCCCCTCCTCAAATAAATAAATCTTAAAAAAAAAAAAAAGGCTTTAAGGAGGCCATGGTATGATCATATTCCATTTAGAAGATCACCCTGGGTCCAGCGAAGAGACCCATTTGAAGGTGACTTTGAGAACCACTAGAAGGAAATGACCACAGTCCGTCAAGGTGCAAGATGGAGGGACCCGACCTCGGGGGTGTCTGCAGTGTGGATGGAATAAAGTGGATGGATTTGGAGGTAGACTCATCAGAGCTGGGTGCAGCCTGGGAGAGAAGATGAGGGATGAGGGGCAAGTCCTTGGCTTCTGTGTTGGATACATGGGAGGACAGGATGGTGGCACTTTCCACTCAGAAGAAGAGCAGAGGAGGGACACCTGGGTGGCTCAGTTGGTTAAGCAGCTGCCTTCGGCTCAGGTCATGATCCCAGCGTCCTGGGATCGAGTCCCACATCGGGCTCCTTGCTCATCAGGGAGCCTGCTTCTCCCTCTGCCTCTGCCTGCCATTCTGTCTGCCTGTGCTTGCTCTCTCTCCCTCTCTCTCTCTGACAAATAATTAAATAAAATCTTTAAAAAAAAAATAAAAAAAAAAAAAAGAAGAAGAAGAGCAGAGGAAACGCAGATGTGGAGGTGTAGGCAAGAGGACGGGAAGAGCCTGACTTTGGGCATGCTGAGACTCCCGTCCCCAGTGGCCTACTCTACAAGGCTTCTCTCTCCCTCAGGATGTGCCTGTCCATTGTTGTCATCCCATCTGTGCTGCTGACAAAGCATCCACCACTTTTCTTCTTTTTGTGATTAATGTTTTACAACTTACAATGGAGGGACGCCTGGGTAGGCTTAGTCAGTTAAGCGCCTGACTCTTGACTTCAGCTCAGGTCATGATCTCAGGATCATGAGATCAAGCCCCATGTCGGGCTCCGTGCTCAGCACAGAGTCTCCCTGGGCTTCTCTCTCCCTCTGCCTCTGCCTCTCCCCCACTCAATCTTTATCAAAAGATAAATAAATCTTTAAAAATAAAAAAAACTAAAAATTACATTAGATACACTGAAATGCACAAAATATCAAGCAGATAGTTCTATGACTTTGGACAAATGTATACATCCATGAACCCAAACCCCAATTTCCATCACCCTCAGAAAGTTCTCCGTGCCCCTTCCCAGCCAATCCTGCCTCCCACGAACACAATCTCTGTTCTGATTTCTATTCCTGTAGGTCAGTTTTGTTTGTCCTTGAACTTCATTAAACAGAATCAGAGTGTGTGACATAATAAGGAATATATATTTGGTCTCTGCTCTTGATTCCTGACGCAAAGCTCCTAAATCTCTTATAATTTCCTGATACGAGCATCTTTTATTCTAACGAGGAAACTCTCGTTGGGCTCCTGGATGGGGACGGTCATCTGACAGACCAAACCATGAGGAGAAGCTTGTTACTTTCAGCCCCATTTCAGGGCTGGAGACTGAGTTCATAATCGATCGCGTCTCCATGACGAAGTCTTCATAAAAATCCCTAAACTGCGGCGTTCGAAGAGCTTCTGGAATAATGAATCCTGACCCCGCGGAAGACAGAAGCTTTTCAGACCTTACCCTACGTGTCTCCTCGTCTGGCTGTTATCTGTAGCCTTTATCATATCCTTTATGTACAATAAACCAGTTTATATAAGTAAGTGTGTCCTTCAGTTCTGTGAGCTGTTCTAGCCAATTAGAGAATCTGAGGAGGGAGGTGTAGTGGGAACCCCGGATTGGCAGCAAGTCAGACAGAAGTGTGGGTGACCTGGGAACCCACCATGTGTGACCCGAGTCTGGACAGAGGCCTTAACCTGTGGGGTCTTCTCTAACTCCAGGTGTTGTCTGTGAATTAAATTGTAGGACACCCAGTTGGTGTCCACAGAGGACTGGAGAATTTCTGGAAACCCACACATTTGGTGAAGATCTGTGGAAGTCTGATAGGCTTCCCTCTATGGGAGAAGTAGTCTTTTGTATCTGGCTGCTTTCACCCATGATCATGTTCGTGAAATTCACCCGTGAAACTGCCAAGCTGGTAGTCTGCCCCTCTGTCTTGCTGAGTTGTTTACATTTACCCGTCCTCCTCTTCATGGGCACTTGTGTCCTTTCCACTGTGGGGCTATTAACAGAGCTGCTGTGAACACACCCGGTCAAACAGTTTTGCCCTGAGATCTGCTGAGATTCAAGTGTCTCTGGGAGAACCAAGGATCCATATCCAGAAAACAATGTCCTCTGTGGGTTTGAGACTGAGAAATGGTATCTGAGCTGCAGACAGAGGTCTGGGGGTCACAGACATAGAGCTGGTGGTTCAAACATGAGCTCATCAGGTAGGTCGTAAAGAAGCCAAGTGCCTAAGACAGAAGTTGTACTGTCTTTTCTGGGCCATATCTTTCCATCATCCCAAACCCTCATGTCCCAGCCCCTTGAGTCTTGCCCAGGCTGCTAAACACATTCCCTCCTTTCTCCCCGCCCTACTGCCTTCCCTGTTCCAGGACCACATCTCCCATCTTCATTGAATCTCACTCAGGACCCACCTGGCCCACACACTGCATTCTTCAACCTGTGCGGATCTGAATCCCCTGGTCCCCAGCCCCCATCCTAGCCCTCAGGGGGACACCCCAGGTCCCCCAGTACAGCCTGCTGGTGAACCATGAGTAAGGGGCTCCAACTTCCCCGTTCTCCAATTGACCTTGCGTCATGGAAATTTTTTCTTTTTGTCCTTCAAGGAGCAGCAAGTGGCCACCAGCTTCACCGTCCCGTACCGCCCCCCTCCCCAACAACCCCATCTGGTGAGCAACCTTCTCTCCTCTGAATTCAGGACCAAAAACCCTCTTTCCACTCTCCAGCTCAATTTGCTTCTTTTTTTCTCATAGGTATAAGCTATAGACCTATAATGTCTGGGCCCCCTTCGGAGCCAGAGTGTTTGTGTCCCCCTCTGTAGGTTATGTTTGTGTCCTCCCCTCCAAAATTCACATGTTAAAATCCTATGCCACAAGGGTGATGGCATTAGGAGATGGGACTTTTGGGAGGGGATTAGGTCATGAGTGTGGAGGCCCCATGGGTGGGATCAGTGGCCTCATAAAAGAGGCCCCAGAGAGGTCCCTCAGCCCCTCCACCAAGTGAGGACACAGTGAGAAGACAGCCATCTAGGAACCAGGAAGGGGCTCCCACCAGAACATGATCAGGCTGTGGCTTTGATCTTGGATTTCCCAAGTTTACCGCCGTCCCCACCACACCCTACTGTCTGATACCAAGTTTTCCCCCTCCTTGTTATCTCTCTGGCTCCTGAAAACATTTGGGCTTGTGACCCCTCCACAGTGAACCTTTGGGAGACAAGAAGCCTGTCCTTGTCCCTCTGGAAGCCCCGTTTCCCTGGGGCCTCAGGTCCAGTAGGTGTTCCGTCAAAGAGCAAACAACTTCAAATTGAGGCCCAAATTAAAATGATCCTCTATCTTGCTGGGATGGATATGTCTTTGGAAACAGGAATACTCTGATGCTTGCCTTTTTATGTCACAATGTGGAGCCCTAGAATTCAGTGCTCAAAGAGAAAGCAAATAGACTAGAGTTCTGAGCCAGGAGACCTGCGTCCTTCCAGACTGCACGGGACGGCGGCAGAGACACCTGGGGAGCCAGTCTCCCGGGCCACTTTTCAGACGATTAGTGCCTGCCCTGGCTTCAGCTACAGACTCCTCTGCAATTAAGAGGGGCTTCTACAGGCACCCCAGGGCCCAGCAGCAGAGGCAAGGCCTCAGGAGGCTTGGAGCCCCTATAGATTCCTCCCAATCCCCAAGCTTCATTTATTCCAAGGGTGAAGCTGGTAATGACAACAGTGGCCTGACATCGGGATGCTATGACGCACCAGATGCTGTCCTAAATGCATTCTCTCATTCGGTCCTCACATAACCTTAGAAGCTGAGAAGCACTGTGCTTCCCCCATTTTACAGATGGGGAACCGAAGGCTCAGAGAGAGAAAGGAAGTTGCCTACAGTCACTCAGCAAGGGAGCGGCAGAGCCCGACTCAAATCTAGGCAGCGTGAGGCTTGAACCACCTGTATAGGACAGGGCTTCACTGCACCGATGAGGCCCAGGTGTCCCGCCAAGACCCCCTGACACTCTTGTCTCTCCACCTGTGACCACCTGGGCACTCGCAGCCTGGCTGCTGGAGCAGCAGAGTCCAAGAGGGCTGGGCAGGGAACTCCCCAGAGAGCGGCCACCAGGCAGCAACAGAAGCTGAGCTGGTGGACGATACTGCAATTTCCTGCCCCACCCCGGGTTGGGACCCCCCCCCCATTACCACCCCTAAGGCACACACTCAACTCCCAGAGTTCTCCATTGTGCTTAAACCCCAGCTGCCCACGGGGCCAACGTGCTCCATGAAACGCCCCCCCTTCCCCTCTCCGCGGTGAAGCTTCCTGTGATCACCTCCCCAAGACACTACTTGCACTTGAATCCTTGTGGTCTATTGTGGGGTAACTCAATGCAGGGTAATGAGCGGCTAGCTCTAGGATGGCAGAGAGTTGCTTAACCTCGCTGGGACTCTGCTGCTTCCTCATCCATAAGACCAAAAAAAAAAAAAAAAAACAAAAAAAACAAAAAAACAAAAAAAAAACCAACAACAAAAACAGGGAGGATGATAGCATCTACCATTCAGGGGTTCTGCGAGAGTTAAATACGCTCATATTTCCGGAGCACTTAAAACAATAAAGGGCCCAGAGGAAGCACCGTATGATTTAAGAAAATTCTAAGACCGTCAGAAAACGCGCTGTGAACCATCCAAAGTGGAGTTTTCCCTTTGCTGACCCAGAGACAAGCCCATGGTCAGAAAACAAGCCCCTGGTCTGCCCCAGACCGAGCCAACTCAGACGTTCTGAAATTCACCACGGGCAGCCACTGCACCAATCTCCCCCTGCCGTGAAATTCTATTACCCCAATGCTAGCAGCTCGATTTTACCGTCACTCAGAATTTCTCCACATAAGAGGCTTGAAAGTTAATTTCTGAGTCATTCCGAGTGCTAATTGGTTATTGCACAGGGATTACATTTCTCACATTCAAGGTCAACTGAAATTTCCCTGTGTGTCTGAGAACAATTCTCAGTTGGTTGGAAACATTTTTTTTTTTTTTAATCAGCAACCACGGTACAGAGCAATTATAATTCAGGCATAAACAAGCGTTTGTGGGCTCTCGCTAGGAATAAACAGCTGCATTTTGTTGCTTGCAGATAAAACAGTCCTTTACTCTATGCCAATAACTGGCCCGGACAAACACTATGTTCACACAGGAACTGTTCTCCTTGATGTCCTGAAATGTCACCCCGGCTGCCCTAGCATGGGAGAAATCATTTTGCAAACTGAGACACCATTTTATACAAGAAAACAGTGGACTTGGGGTGTTTTTTGTTTTTTTTAATACCCAGGACAATACATTTTTAATGCAGCAGCAAATGGGCACAGCTTCATCAAAAAGTTGAGGGAAAGAGATGGAAGGTGTTCTCTGGAAGGACTAATCAACAGTGTCTAGTTCTTGGCTCTACTGAGTGGGATGTCCTTTTACCAGCTCATCTGGACTTGAGCCGGCTCTGCAGGAATAACCTTCCCTTGCCAAGTTCACTGGAGAAATGACTGGTAAGCCCAAGGCCAATGTGTTCATCCCACTTGTTTCCAGGAAGGGATATCCCCTGGGTCGACCCATCACCACTAACTTGTGTGGAGGGCACAACAAGAGTCAATACTCAAGTGCTATATCTGTCAAGTTGAGGGACAAACTAACATGGATCTTGGGATAAATGACAAAATCCTTGCCAAGGCCAGCACAGCCCTTCTACTATGATGACCAGCCACTTCCCCAGTATTACCCTGAACTCACCCTTTGCTCTCTCTCTCCTCTACCCACACTGGTCTTCTTTAAGTTTCACATAGTTGCTACAAAACTCCCCACCACAGGGCCTTTGTACATGCCATCCTTGCTGAGTGGAATTTTCTTTTCCTCTCTCTACTCAGTTAATTTGCACTATTGTTGCCTTAATGACACCTTCCTTGTCCTCCTGTCTCCCCCCACCCCATATGTTCTCAGAGTTAACATGGACCTCTCTTTCATAGAACTTTACCTGGTCACAAGTTTTTTTTATTTGCCTGTATGATTATTTGCTAAATAAAAATGACAATAATTTCATTTTAGCTGTTTTATACAATTTTTTTTTCAGAGTTAGCAGGCCATTACTATTTATCTAGAATTGATGTTTTCCCATCAGACTCAGTATACTGAGTTTGTACAAACAAAATAATGTGTTTTCCCTTATGAAACTACTTTAAAATCACTCAGTACACATATAATGAAAGACCTCAAACTCATTTTCCCCAAAACATTTTCTTTGTAAAACTAGGATGTGTCTGCAACTCTCACACAGCTGAAAACAGGGTTTCTTGCCTCACCCCCCACGAACAGAAAGGGCTTAGCTGAGGTAGAAGCAGAGCCAGAGCGTAGCCCAAGATTCAGGGTCAAGGACTCTTCATTTTTGGAAGACAGACCCATGGGTATTTCATGAAGTCACCAGCACAAACAATTCCATTTGTTAACAGTACAGCACCATCCCGCCAATAGATCCAACTCTAGATTCTATCCCTCAGCAAGTTTAAGTTAGCCTCCAAAATAGAGCCCACTTCTATCTATTTCTTTCATTCACCATTATTACCATCCCAGGCCAAGCTATCATCAAAATGACCTGAGAATGGGCGCGCCTGTGTGTCTCAGTCGGTTAAGCGTCCGGCTCTTGATTTTGGTTTGGGTCATGATCTCAAGAGCGTGGTATTGGGCCCCACATCAGGCTCTGTGCTCAGTGTGGAGTCTGATTGTCCCTCTCCCTCTGCTCTCCCTTTCTATCTCTAAAATAAATAAATAAAATCTTAAAAAAAAAAAAAATGACCTGAGAAGTGAAGGAGCACTTTCGAGGAAAAGTCTAAATCTAAGTGAGGACAAGGAGGAAGGAATGCCTTCACGAAGCAGGATACACTTGGCTGGGGTTTTGCAGGATGCATAGGAGTTTTCTTGGAGCCAGAAAAACACTGCAAAGGCACAGAGTCATGAAAGGCCTTGGTAGAAGGCCTTTCATAACTGGAGACACAGCATACGAGGCATATGAGACACTCTAGCAGTTCCCACTGGCGTAGAAAGAAACACAGCTCACCTCGAATTTCTGCCTCAGCTCTTCATTGCCCTCGCTTCCTTCTGGCGGCACAGGCACGTTGAAGTACTCGCCTTCCTCCTGGCTCAGCAACTTGAACCTGAAGGGAGACAGGGAGACAGGACAAAGTCCATGACCTGACTTCATATTATTTTGTCAGTTACAATAAGAAAAGGAAGACTATAGACAGATTTACCTTAAAAAAATGTGTTGAGGGGTTTTTCTTTTGGGGGAGGTGTGCACGTACGTGTTCGTAGCCAGGTATGCTATGTGTTTTTGTAACCATTCTACAGTTTTCAGAAAAAAATGAATATTCTGTGTTTATGCAATGTTCTGGCTCTGGCTCTGTTTCTCATCTTACACACACACACTTTTCTTAGTTCTCTCATTCAGTCACTCAGTGCTTTATGTTTTTACCTACCTTCTGTCTGCTACGTGCCTTCTTATTCTGAAAGAATGCTATGACGATCTCCCATGGTCAGTGGATTCTTAGCACATTCTCCCAGCATCCTGGCTCTCAGCAGCATTTGGATGACTACCTCCTTGACTCCATGATGCAGCTTTCTCTGCAGATGCCTTCCCCAAGTGCCCGGTATGACCCCCTTGAGAAATAGCATCCTTTCACAGGTATGTACACAAGCCCCAGAGTCAAACTCTGCTTGGGTTCAAATCTCCCCTCTGACCTTGCCTCTGTGGGTCCCTGGACAAGCTAGCTAGGCTCTCTGAGGCTCAATTTTTCTCATCTATAAATCAGAACAGGAGCTTTTTTTTTTTCAAGGGCGCCTGGCTGGCTCAGTCAATAGAGCATGCAATTCTTAATCTCAGGGTCGTGAGTTTGAGCCCCACATTAGGCACAGAGATTATTAAAAAAAAAAAAAAAAGTCTTTTTCATAGAATTACTGTGGAGCTAAGATATAGTGACTCATGCAAAATGATAAGCACAGTGTCTGGCATTTAGCAAATGATAAATCATCATCATCATTACAGATATTGACATTATCCTAATAAACAAGATGGCTTTCAGTGTGTTTTTGACCACAAAGATGTTTCCATCTACTCAAAGGGAAACATGAGAGAGGGGAAAGGAAAGGACATTCCAAAGACATCCAAATCACTAGAGGGGAAAAACATCCTGGAGCTCCTCACTCCCCAAGAAAGACTTCCTAACTCAAATCCACAAATTTCATAATGATTTTTCCTCCATTCACAAAACTTCCTCAACAGCTCCTAAAAATAGGAGGAGAAGAGATTCAAAGCAGAGGTGATAATTGGCGTTTCTATGCATCCACATTTAATATTCGGTTGTCCTTGGGGCACCTGGGTGGTTCAGTTGGTTAAGCGTCTGCCTTCGGCTCAGGTCATGATCCCAGGGTCCTGGGATGGAGCCCCGCATTGGGCTCCCTGCTTAGCGGGGAGTTTGCTTCTCCCTCTGCTCCTCCCTACCTATCAAATAAATAAATAAGTCAATAAATCTTAAAAAAAAAAAACTCAATTGTCCTCTGACCATTTTCCAAAAGAAATACAAAAATAAGAGAACATCTGTATTTTTCTTGGCAATCAAGAAGGGTGCTATCCACACAGTAGTATCTAGGAACTCGTACAAATTAAAGTAATAAGTAAGAGAACATGGAGCAGTGGTTGGCAAACATTATTCGCCTTTGTGGATTTTGCTAAATCTGGATATTATGATCCACTTCATGGTTTTCATTATATCATCTCCTTTTTAAATAGCATATTCCCTTTGAAAAGGAAGCCAACAGGTTACAAGTAGAAAGTAACTGTAAAAAAAAAAAAAAAAACTTATGCAAATCAAGTTACCCAAGTCCAAGTAGATGGCATTGCTTACCAAAGGCTCTGAGACTTATGCCTGCCCCTCCTTGTTAAAATGGGAGCTCCGCCAGCGGCGCAAGTGAAAGAACATTAAGGGTATGGCAATACCAACTGAGACTTTCTCTTTATGATAATCTGAAGGTTGGAAGGAGCATTGGCCAAAGAAAAGCTTGGCCAGGGTACAATTCAGTATTACTAATGCCCCAACCATGTGCTATCTAAACCATGTACAGTCTAAGCCGCTTTGGAAACTACTAAGCAAGGGGGACCAACCAGCGGTGACTAGTCAACAGGACCCCCAGCAGAACCCCACTAACAATGCTGGGCCAGACCACCAGGGACTAAATGACAGCCACCCACTCTGATTCATATTCAGGAAGGATGGGACATGTTGTGGTGCCCTCGCTATGTCTGCTGGAGCCAGTATACTGTCTCTATGGCCCTGAATAAGGACTCATGTCTGTTAGAAAAGAGAAGCAGGGACCCCTTCCAACTTTGAATTGGACAAAACCAACATGGGGGAAATGCCTCCTTATAGGGCAGTAGGGCTGACTGTTTGATGTGTAGCTGTTTCCAGCTGTGGATCTCTCCAAAACGGCTATAGGGAACAGGATCCCTGTTCTGACAAAGAAAAATTCCAAAAAATACAAAGACTCCTTTCTCCCTTCATCTGATTTTGAAAAATTACAACTGGGACACTCATCATTCTTGAGCTCATCCGCCTTTAAGGATGGGCGGATACAGAAAAATAAAAGGATGTATGAAAAACTCAGTCAAATAAAGAGAAACAATGAGAAATCAGATAAGTACCTCCCATGAAATAGAACTACTGCCAAAAGAGAGAAAATTCTAAAAAATATCTAGTTCATACTTTCAATGAGATTCAAGAAGCTAATGCATCTTTGAAAAGGGAAAAATCTGAGATTAGAAAAGGCTACTCTCAGAAGGAAAATGTAATTACTAGATTTAAAAATCCACTCGAGACCATGAACACTAAGATGGCTAATTCAGATAACAATTAGGGAACCCTAAGAAATTCTTTTGGCAGTTGAACCTGATATTTATTATGTTGATCAGAGTTGAACTGAATGCCTTATGTATACCATTAAGAAAAATGTTTATTACCAAAAATAATATACAACATGAAAGGAGGGAATATAGCAATATATGTATCAGGAAAGACATATTATAATCCATCTTATGTAAAAAGTTCTTACTATTCAATAAGAAAATGACAGGCAAAAATCAGGACATAGTCATTTATAAATACAAACAAATGGCAATGTATAAATTAAAATATTCAGTGAAATTAGTAACAAAATATGTATGATAATGGAATTCTGTAAATATGTATAATTAGTAAAAAATATGTATCATCTTTGCATTATATCTTTGAAATTTACAATACCAGATGTTGACAAATGTGGGTAAAATGAAAAGTACCACGCAGCACTGAGAGTGAGAATGTAAACTGAAAAAAATTGCAGAAGGGCTTGGCAAACACTTTAATAATACACATGTTCTCAAAGCCATCAATTCCAGGACTAGGAATTTCTTAGGAAATAATTAAAGCTATGCACAAAGGTTTGGCTGCAAGTATGTCTACTGTAGAATTATTTTTCTAGGTAAGCACTACACATCTTATAGTAAATATATGATTCTGGGAGCAACTGTGTGGCTCAGTTGGTTAAGCCACTGCTTTTGGCCCAGGTCATGATCCTGGAGTCCTGGGATCGAGTCCCACATCAGGCTCCCTGCTCTGCAGGGACTCTGCTTCTCCCACTGACCTCTTTCCTCTCATGCTCTCTCTGTCCCTCAAAAAGAAAAAAAAAAAAAAAAGAATATGATTCTGTAAGTTGAGGCAGACCTATAGAACAGGCCACATGAAAATGATGTTGCCCAAGGTTACTGAATTATGAGGAAAAGTGTTTATAATGCATTTTTAAATGAAAAATGAGGGCTGTGACACAGTATGTACAGTAAGTTTTCATTTTTTGTTTCAGATACACGCACAGGAGCACAGACACACACAAGCACACATAAGCAATACATACACACACAAAAAAAACCCCTCTTAATAATGTCAACAGAGGTTATCCCTGGACAATGGGATTCTGGATAGTATTTTGCTTTCTTATTTATATTTTTCTAATAATTATTCAGTTAACAATAATCGCTAATACTTACTGAGTAATTACTATTCACCTGACACTGGGAGCTTTACTTACAGTATCTACTTTAGTATCATAACAACCCTATGACATGAATACCGCTGTTATCTCCAAATGAGGAAAGGAGACAGAGAGGCAAAGCAACTTGCCCAGGGGTACACAGCTAGGAAATGGAGGAGCAGAGACTCTAACCAGGAAATCTGATTCCAAAGCCTTAGGTTTTTTTTCAGTGGAGGGGTAGGATTTGTAATAAGACCAAAATGACATTATTAGTAATAACAAAGCCTAAAGAAACATAAATTTTTTTTAAAGATTTTATTTATTTGTCAGAGAGAGAGGGAGAGAGAGCGAGCGCAGGCAGACAGAATGGCAGGCAGAGGCAGAGGGAGAAGCAGGCTCCCTGCCGAGCAAGGAGCCCAATGCAGGACTTGATCCCAGGACGCTGGGATCATGACCTGAGCCGAAGGCAGCTGCTTAACCAACTGAGCCACCCAGGCGTCCCAAGAAACATAAATTTAAGGTAACAATGATACTAATAGTTGTCTTTTCACAAGAAGAAGAAAAGAATGAAATGGAAAAGGAAAAAAACCCTCAGAATCAGAAACACCATGTTGGAAATGCAGCAATTATGACCATAAGCATTAAAACATTTCCCTACGGAAAAGAAGAAAGAATTTTGAATTTAGGTCTATTTTTTTGTTGTTGCTGTTTTTCAATCCAGTAACATGCCACATGTTCTACCAAATAAAAGGACTGAGATTTAACATTAAAAAATGGGCAGGATCCACTAGGCAAGAAGTATTTACCACTCTGCAACCAAAGGAGACAGGTTGAAAGGTCAATCAGATGTTCTCAATCCTTTGGCTCCTCCACTTACTCTGGGAAGAAGATGAAGTTCCTAAAAGGCCCCCATGGGATCTGTTGAGCACCCCTCATCCTGCCAGTCCTTGCTCCCCACTGATACCCCTTTGGAGAATCAGCTCCAGCCACACAGGTCACTTCACTGACCCTCAGACCTAATAGGTGCACTCCTGCCTCAGGGCCTTTACACTTGCTGCTCTCACCATCTGGGACAATCTCTCCCTAGACTTCCACAAGT